AGTCATGGAATATGAATGATTTTCATATAATGAGATACAGAAACTCACACAATCATGCAGTTAACATTCACAAATAAAACACACACACAGTACAGCAAACAAACAAATGTCCCTGACCTGCAGTGTTCTTGCCGTTGGTCCACACCAGGTTCTTGCACTTGGCCACAACCACTGTGAGGCGCTCTGCTGTCGGCAAATAGCTGAGAGACAACAGGATCTCTCCAACTGCGTCCACAGCCTGTGGAGTCATAGCAGAGCATGGCAGACATTAAATATAACATTAAATGTGCCAGTCTCTTTGAGAGAAAACACTCCTCACAATCATGATTTCTTTTATACCTAGGTAAGTATTCACCCACAGTGCTCCAGAGCTCCTACTACTACTGTATGTTGGAGCTAATTACATTTTTAGGTTGTTCTGCTTACACATCTTTAAATTAAAGATAGCTGTATTTAAATTAAAGCCATCACAAATTGAAACCATAAATGTTAAAGCAGGAAACAAATGAACTGTGAGATGGAATATAATCAGCAGCATATTAATAAAGTTAATAGCACGTTAAATTTGTTAAATTCAAAATTATTTTAACATTTTAATATTAAATTGTTAGTTCATCAGTTAAAAACAGAAAAAGGGAATTCCATAAAAAAGTCTAATTTGATTATCTATTATTTTTAAATTTTATTGTATTTACACTGGTTTTGTTTGAGGTTGGTGAAGATCAAACTGTCCTTTACGTAAGTAGCTTTTTCATGTCCATTGTCTTATTTTTAATATATTATAATTACACACAGTGAATTGTAAGTTAGTTACTTACTTATATAGTTTTAAAAAGACATGGCATGTTTATGAAAGAGATGATACGTAATCGTGGGGTCCTAATATATTAAAATAATAGCTAAGTTGGTGGAAAGTAACTACATACATTTACTTTAAGTGCTATACATTAGTAGAATTTTGACCAAAGATACATTTGAATAAATATTTGAAACCCAAAGAGGTCCAAAAATTTAAATACAAAACCCTGAACTAAAATTGTGTATATAGTAGTTAAAACTATATAATAAATAAATAATATATATATATATAATAATATGTTATGGTCTTTTTAAGCAGAACAAGTAATTTGACACAATGATACTTTTACTTAAGTAAGATTCTCAATGCATAACTTTTACTTTACATTTACATATTTCTGTATTGTGGTGTTGGTACCTAATTGAAGGATTGAAGGAGTATTTCTTTCACCACTTCGTCCATTATTCTCTTTTAAATAATCTACTATTCACTTTTGTTCGTGGTCAGTTTAACTCACCGTAGGCCTTTCATTAAATCTGTTATCAGTTTTTAACTGACTGCATCCGTTTTCAAATAATCGTTAATCATTACATTTTGCCAGTAATCCACTCAACTGTTTTTTGTGAATATGACATGTAGTTCTGCTGAACTCCAGCAGGGGTCCTCAGATACCACCATTCTTCCCACAGTGTATACATACTGTAGTTGTTGTTGGAGGCAATACATGACATACTAAAAATGTGCCTAGAAGCCCAAACTGTAGGATTTATTGTAGCATTATTTGTCTGTATTCAATCATATCAAAGTATACTCTATGACACATCACTGTATTATAACTCACCTTATTGACATCTTGAAGGTAGAGCCAGGCGTTGAATGGTCTGATGGTGAGGTCCAGGTCTGACAGCTTGAGATCTGCTACCCCAGCACTGATGTTTCGCTCATCAGCGTCGATACCAAAAGCAGCAAAACGCAGGCTGTACTCCTCCAGAGTGGACAAGTCCACAGGAATGGAATAGCGCTCATCAAAAATCACGGTGAATGCATTAGTCTGGACCTGTGAGAGGCAGAAGATAATTGAAATGTAGGAATGTAAGGTTTTTTTTTTTTTACTTGTAACATACACCTCCCAAAAAATTTGAACTTTGTATAAATTTGGGAGGCATCAAACGGACAGGATGGTCATCTAAAAGTCCAGTTTGTAACATTTAGGAGGCTCTTAGGCAGAAATGGAATGTATTATATATATTTTTTTAATTAGTGTAAAATGACCTGACCCACACCATCTGTAGATCATTCTAAGGTGATAAAAACATAAGGATTCTTATTTTCAGGTGATTATACACTAATGAAAACATAGTTGTGCATATTACTGTATATTCTGGCAATAGATCCTCCTAAATAACATTCAAGGTCATAGCAGATGTCATATTTCCAAACACATTCCTTCACTCTGCTAGTACTAAATGTTTTCACTGGTATCATTCTGGAAAGAAAACACCAGCGAAACCATTTGCATGATAACATTTTGTGCGTGTTTTTCGTCAACCAGCATCAAAAATCAAGTGGATTCAGATATTAAGGCATTATTCAGTTCTTGGCAGGTGAAACAGATTTCCCAATGAAAAAGAGGTTTGGAGTCAGTTTGACCTGGCTAGCAGAGCGCACCATGACTACTTTAGATCAAAGTTACAGACTCACTTGCCACAGCAACAGTGACCAGCATTCTGATTAAATTTTTTTATGCTAAAGCATGTGCTGGAACGAGGGTTTACAGAGCAGTCGGAAGTTACCAGGCAACTATAATGTGCAGAGGAGGGTGGATTTAATAATAGCCCCCTTTTCACACCAGTGTTAGTTTTTGAGGTGTGAAATACAATCAGGGATATTCTTGCTAAATATGTTTGAAATAAACATTGTAGCTTTCATACAAATACAGTGAAGCAGAATAATAAAAGAATAATAAAATGAACATGTGCTGTGCAAGGTCAGCAAAAGTAGTTTTTGATAAATCTACAACTCACTGTACAATAAAAGAATTGTGGATTCTGAGCACAGGGTCTGCGAATCAGCCTGTGAGGCTGACCTTGGATTGTGCCTCATATCCAACCACCGAATAGCATCATAATCATACATTCAACACCTACAGAATCCAGGAAAGGCCCGGCTGCTGCTGCTGTGCAAATATCTTCATAAAGATATAAAGCAGGCAGTATCTCTCTGCCAGCCCAACACACAAACCTGTACAATATAACGCTGTTTGTCTGTATTGTTGGGCTTATTGCTTTGGGGGTTAACAATGGCGATGTGTGTGGTGAAAATGAGGCAATAAAAGCTCAGAGGGAGGCATGTGTGTGGATGTGTGTGTGTGTGAGCTACAGCAGAGAGAGGGGGAGAATGAGAGAAGAGTGGCATACACATTATTAAGAAAAACAAAAGCAAGAAGCAGTGACAGCAAATAAATGAGATAAGGGGAAAATGGGATGAAAGAGGGAGTGATCGACGTGTGATGGGTGAGACAAGAACAGTGACTACAAAGAAAATTACCGAGAGAAAGCGCAGGAAAAACCGAGAGGGAGAGAGAAGCTGTCTTGACCATCAGGGCAAGTGAAGCTGATGTCAGCATTTCCTTTGGTCTTCACCACTCCTCGACATCAAAGAGGGAGCCACTAAAGCCGCTGCATCGGTGGCCGCTTCCATTATTATTACACCCAGCCCATAATACGTTCATATAACAGAACAACAGAGAGCCCTGGTGAATCTGTGTGTCGGCCCCGCACAAACTGTACACCACAGGAACACAAGGTGCAATGTGGATGACTCACAGCCAGGCAGGAATTAGTGAAATTTTCTGGCAATGTCTCGCATAGAGCAGACGGCGAATGGCAGGTGTAGCAGATGGAGGAATGTAGCCCTGTTCTTTTACTGTCAGAACGGTCAGTCCACATTAGATTCAAGCTTTCTATTAAACTGTTTTAGTTGAGAATTCCAAAAAAAGGACACAATCAAGGCACATTTCTGTCATGAAAAGAAAAGAAAAATGTTCATAATGACAAAAATCCTCACTGTAAGTGAAAATTATGAGACACTAAGACAAAACGTAAATAAAATACAAATAATTATGATTTTAACAGAGCAATTTAATGGTGGAAATTAAAAGACAATTGCAGTAAAAGCACAGAATTTACAAAACAAATCAAGAAAACACTAGAGATTTAAATGAGGATAAAGAGGTAGTAAGCCAGTTAATGTGAGTATTATTTTAATATTTTCTTTTTCTGGTCAAATCTTTATATATTAGATTTTATACTGTGTATATTATTTGAGAAATCAAGACAGAAATATCTGTTTCTGATTAATCCAGGAAATGAAATACCATCATTACATTGTGATTTGCAGATATATTAACAGGATAGTCTGATTGTTTATACTATCTCATATTGTCATATTAACCCTATTAATTTAATCTCCACTCTCATTGTTATTTTGTAACTTGCAGCATCATCATCAACATCTTAAACTGAGTGAACTGTAAAGGAATCACTGCTCACTGTAAGGATTGTTATCTCAAATCTCATCACCGCATGCCACATATCATCATCATTTTAACCTAAACTGTAGCTTAACACAGGTTACAGGTTGCATTTCAAATTGAGTGAAATGAAAGTTAATCACATCTTCTCCTGATGAACGCAAAGGCTGTGAAATCAACCTTCTTCACTGCATCCAGCTCCCAGGGGGCTCACTATTCAAGTACTTCCATCAGACATGAAAGGATTGTCTTGTCAAGCTGCAGGATCAAGCCTCTCACTCCATGGGACGTATTGCTGTCTCTGTCTAAAATTCAGCCGGGGCTAAAATCTTTAGCACATTTCAAGTGAGTCAAAGCTGACCCCCCGAGCGAGGAAGCTTCAGACATTACAGCCTCACTGTTTTCCCACAACGTCAGGAGCCACTTTTATCTGCAGTCCTTTGCCCAAGTTAACTTGTCATGTTTTAACTGCTAATTAACTGTCTGAGAAGATATTCCTTTCATTTTCCCCCTCAGTCCACAATCTCTACCCCATTAGTAGTCTAGAGGCAGTTATGCTGAAAGTCCTCTTTTTGTACCATAACAGCAGCTAACGAGGAACTGCCTTCAGACTGATCATATGTCTGAAAATCTGAAAAAAGTAAAGCAATGCTCTTACATGCATCCTCACTTACAAACACACACTATAGTGCTTTAGTGAGGATTTGTTGTTGTTTTTTTGTTTAGTGGCATCTAGCGGTGTAGTTGCACATCACAACTCCCCTTCCAAACACAAAAAACAACTTATGGTGGCCAAAAAAACAAGCAAAAAACACCCCAGTAGACCCTAAGGAGAACCACATCTTATCACTGTAGTGGTGGGAGATGTGGGTTTTCCTTTCTATCATTCTCAAGAACTTAATATAACCACAAAAAGACAACAGCTTCCTTACCCTTGTGACTCCCACATTGAGCTCCTCTGGCCCCAGGGAGACTCTGATGAAGCAGCCGGGGAAGTCCCCTTCCTCCCTCTCCAGCAGGTCTTTGCCCTGGTGCAAAGTGATGTGGAGCATTCCCGTCCCCTGGCCCGGATGCCTGGAAGGCTCAAACTCGAGCGTCACCTCCAGCTGGCCTACCGTGAAGTCGTGGCCAAAGTTGTTGGCGATGGAGGAGATGGAGCTGAGCGAGTCGGTGGAGATGGACCGGTTAAGCTGGGCTATGCAGGTCGGGTCCAGCTCTCTGCTCATCAGCTCCAGGTGGCCCAGGTCCCTGAAACCGTCCGGGGTGTCGCCGAGGGCCAGGCTGGGTTTGCGGCTGGAGGTGGTGGATGTTCGCCTGTGATTGTTGGCAGCTGCTCGCTTCAGGGTGGGAGTTAATAAAGGAAACAAAGATATTTTAAAGGTACTGAGATGGAAAAATAAGAATCTCTCTGAATAACTCGGCTGTTCTGTGTCATAACGCTGTACAACCAAAACAAGCTCATTTAGATTTATTCAGTGTCTTGTAACACTATTTTTTTCAAATTCTTTGCAATTTACTCTTGCATGTAATAGTCGTAACGAGTATTTCATAACAAAACCACAAAATGTATCAAAGTGAGTTTTATTAATGGGGCTTGTTGTCTTGTCTATCCTGCACTTGGAGCTCACCAGGCAAGTTTCTAACAACATTAATCGTAGTGGCAATAATGTTAAACCTGCAAAAACTGGGTCTTTAAACTGTTGCTTATTTACACACCCAGGGTAACATTATCCTTCATTTGGAGTTGTTTTTCTGTTTTCTTGCTCCGTCGAACTTTGTTCGTAGTTAGTACTTATGAGATATAATAATACCCCAATTGTAATAAACCAGAATTGTCCTGTGGGGCAGAGATAGTGTTTCGTGCCACTGTGAATTAACAAAAAGCCTTCAGCCACACGAAACTTTTCTCTGTAATCAGCTGCTGCTGTCTTCAATTGGAAAGAAAAGCTGCAGACTCTCAAACCTCTGTGCCACATGATTGCTCATCACTTGCTCCAAGTGAAGATTGGTTGTTGATTTTGAGCTTTAAGTTCACAAAGCCTCTCACCTCCATGTCTTATGGGAAAGTTTTAGACACATGTATTTTGTGTACTGATATTTAACATTTCTGAATAGCGTGAATTAAAATGTACCTTTTGTCTGACTTCTGAGAAGGAGGTTCCATATTTTTCTTGCAGATATCGATAGTCAAAGTTTGGGAAGGGCGACGGTGCGGGGAAGGTTCCAGATCTCCACAACTTCCAGATGTTGAGCCCGGCCACACCCAGCAGCACGAAGAAGCCCACCAAGTAGATCCCCACCTCCCAGCCGGGCGGGTTACGCACCACTGAAACAGACGCACAAAACAAGTGCTTAAAGCTATGCTTACTTCCATTTCATCAAATGCAGCATAAAGTTTGGACATAACTGTCTTAACAAGCTCACAGTCATTGAGCACAGTCAGACACTGTTTCAGGCCTTGTCATTTAACACTGAGCATTGAAATGACTTTGGGAGACTTCGGGATGCATAAAGTTTTATGTAAATCAGATAATAGTTTAGGACAAAATGTGACAAACAAATTGAAATGCCACACTGAATTAGATGTCAGATCTTCTCGTGGTGCATTCAGAGAGGGATTATGAGCTTGTGTTGAGCTGGCTTTCTCAAGATGAATGACTTCTACGGGAGGACTTTGACAGCTTTATCTCTACTTTTTTACCACAAGAGATAAGCCAATTATAGGGCAACTTAAAATGTTTTGTAACATCGACGGCCTTCAGCGGCCGACAAGACTGGAGGTGTTGTAAAACTTGTATATAAAGGTGTCAACAGCAGTCAAATAGACCGGAGAGAAGATACACAAATGCACACCCTGAATGAAAATCCACAAACAGCCTCATAGTTCGATACTCACATCCTCACATATAAATTTACAACAGTGTGGATAAAATCACAGATGTCAAGCATTAATCCACACAAAGATAGCCATGCAGAAAAAACTAGTAAAAGAATATGCTGCAACAGTCAGACCATTGCTGTCCACTCACCACTCAGATGGTAGCCTGATATATCCCCACTTTGAGCCGAGGACATGGTGCTGCAGCCAGCCTGAAAAAAAAAATCCAAAGAAAAATCTGTTCAAGTGGCATTTTATGTCAGAATCATAATCCCATAGTAATGTCTGACACTGGGAGCTGAAATTACACAAAGAAATCATAGAATTCATTAAAAATGGCAAGTTGGTCCATCATTCAGAATACAATTTGGGTTTCCGCTAAAGAATATTGAATATTTAGCTGAAGGAACAATTATAACCTTTTCATACTAAGTAACAGTTACAACATTATAAAAACGTAGTCATCCTTAAACCCTCTTAATCTAAATCTTTTGCCTTCAACATTAATCAAAGTAAACATGGACAAATTAGCCTGCTTTGGGCCACAGGGCAAAATCTACCACGGGAACCTAAGGACTCCTGACATCCACTGCTGTTTCAGGTACATGAACAGGATGGGGTACATGCACAATAACAAATAACATGCATGCAGAACGAGGGAAGTCAGTGCTCTTGGTACATTTTCCCTTGCAGAGACACAAGACTCAACCCAGTGATAAACAGAGCTTCTAGAGGGGGGAAACCCCAGCAGTGAGATGACCTGCTGAGGTGATCAGCTGGAATGAAAATCTGCAGACTTTTGGCTCAAAATGGCTGTTTTCTGATCTGTCCCCTGTTTGTCAGTGCCTTCTAAAACGGTCTTTTAACACTACTTGGTTAAGTTTAAGGAATGACTGTGGCCATGGTTCATAAGAGTACTCCACTGACTGAGCATTGCATAACATTGTCAGACTCACTATGGACAGTTTAAAAAGAGGATCAAAATTTAGAATGAGAAATGTATTTATTTTCAATTCCATGCATTCATCTTCCTTGTCAAAACCTGGCATCTACATTACCCACAATGCAACTCGACTGCAGTTCTGTCAGAGATTCAGTGTTGTGTATGCTACACTGGCTAATGTTGCCGTATCGCAAGGCTGAGGCAATTTATCAGATTTCACGCAGCTCCTTTTGGAGCCACAAGGTGTCCCACTTTGTGAGGGACTGCACAGCATCCCATGTCCCACATTTTGATTGGCTCTAGTTTTCAAATGTCAAATCAATGGCTGTGAAGGAAGCAGAGAAGGCTGTCGTCACGGGACTGCTACGCCCAACAGGGAAAATTGTGAGTGACCACGAAGTCACAACCTATGCAGATTTAGGCCGAATAGGATGGAAAGTAATATAGAGAAGTCAGAAGTCAGGTGCTTAGCATCTCAATAACCGACCCCGACTTCATCCCTTGAGGTTTTATGGTTGTATGGCGACTTCACACTACTTCCGTCTCTGCTTCAGAGACAGCAATAAGAAATCAATTCAGTTTTTTGGATTATGGTTCTTCCTGAAAATAGCAGCAAGGACTGTTTTTCAAGAGACAAAAGATATCAACATTTCCCTGTGACCCTCTTTTCCTACGCAAACTGCAAAAAGAAAAAAAAGATGGGCGCCAGCGTGTGACTCATTCCTTCCCCCCACCTCCCCTCAATCTCCCCTGCTTGTTGGAATCTCCCCATATCTCAGTGGCTTGGGGGAAACGGGAGCATTACACTAATGATATAGAAAAAAGCTGGAGGGGGGGTTGTGGAGAGTGTTGACTCAATTCTGCTGAGCGTTTTGCAGACCACAGCCATGCAGTCCAATTAAAGTGGCTGACGCAGTGCAGGGCCCACTGACAGCTGCTGATATTCCATTAGTAAAGCATGGGGAATCTTTGGCAGAGAGGGAAGCACTGAGAAAAGACCCCCCTCGAAAATAAATAAATAAACACAAATAAAACATTGGCCCGGCAGTCCTCAGATCAGGTCGGCATGGCCTAAAATAACATATGAGTGTTTAGGTCCAGAGGAAGCTGAACAGAGGGAATGGGAGGAGGAGGAAGAGGAGAGAGGATCAATGATAGGGAGGGAAATAAAAAGAAAGAGAGTAAGACAACGTTTCAGACACATTTAGTAAATAACAATGAGGCAGCGTGGGCGCTCTGCTGCCTCAGTGGGCTTAAGGAGACAGGATACTAACAATGAAGTCCAACTTGCCTGAAATAGAAATACGTTTGAAAATAAGGAGGCACGCACTCACTGCAGCTTTATAAAGATTATTAATTTGATCCCAGAGCTGATAGATAAGAGGAACAGGGAATTGGTCAATTGATCATCTAAAAAGGCATAATTATCCTCTAATAGAGCGGTTCCCAATTTGTTGTCTGTCATACCCCATACACCAGCCGTTATCTTCCAGATGTGTTTGTTAGACTGATGATATTTAACACTAATGATTATTCAAAAGCAGATATTGTTACAGTGCAACACATAGTGATCCTGGAAGTGGCAGCGTTTAGATTTCCACTCACTTTTCATCTAGTCCTGCTTAGCTGCAGCATGTGGGGTTCAGATATTAACCTGACTCCTGTGCAGTCAGCCTATAGTTGGTGGTAGTTTGTTCTTTACTGTGATTATAGATTTAATAAAGAGTCAGATCAGTATGCTGCTTTTTACCTCAGTTTACCTAGTCACAAACTACATCTTCCAAAATGACACACAGTTGAATCAACACCTTCAAGAAGGTAGGTTTTATTGCAGGACTGTATTAGACTGGTGTGCCTAATAAACTGGCAACTGTCTATAGATATACTTTTTTAAACCAAATTTCTATTTTTTTTTGTTTTGTTTTTTAAAGGTAGTCCACAATATTTCCCTGTCGCCCTGACAACCACACTAATACTCCCTGGTGTACAAGTACCCCTGGGTGGGAATCAACACAACCAGAATCAAAAGGAAATAACTTAAAAAGGAAATGAAGATTTTTTGCAGTACACAACAACTATTGCACACGTTTTGATCAATAATGCCGGCAACAAGTCATCTGCCAGCCTAAGGCTTGGAATTACATTTCTGCAGAGAAAGTAGAGTTATGGGTAGCAATGGATCACAGAGGTTCACAGGGGAGCTGACGGCCAAATCTCAACATATCTCAATTCTGACTGGTTGATCCTACTGTCTGTGGGTCGGCTGGAATGGAAAATAAGGAATATGTTCATGTCCACACAAGAAGAAAAGAAAACACCCGTTCATATTCGCTTATGTGCAGACCAGAGACGCATTTCCCAGCCTTAAGGTGGATCCTCTGCACGCTGACTTGATAGAGAGGACTATAATCAAGACCATGACCTTTGCTGCTTGTCATCCTCTCTCTTTCCCATTTTCCCTGTCACCACCTGCCATATAAAATCTAAGTGTCTCAGATAGTATGATGAGGAAGACTGTAAAAGGAGGCTGAAATTTGTTTGTGTAATATACTGAGACAGGGAGAAAATGAAAAAACAGACAAGAAAATGGCAGCATTAAGGAGAGGAAAGTAATAATGTGGACCAGGCTGAATCTTTGTACTCCTACTACTTGACTGGAGCCAGAAAAAGACTGAGCTCAACCAAAGCCATGATGTTTTACTCCATGATAGCAACAGTTAGTGATTTATATCCTTCAGATTTGAGATTTTCCTTCGGGCTGACAGCTCATTAACACTTGCCTGTGAAAGGAAAGGTGATAATTTGCATAAAAGCTTTTCTAGTGATGTGTCATCTTCATGCCCACATGATCTCGACTCTCTCACTCCTTTATATTTATCACCATTGCTGCAGGGATTCTGTGTCTGATAACATTCCTCATGATGCCTAAAAAGACCGTCATCCTCCAGAGCACACGGAGCGCAGTCGCATGGAAGACGTTTTAATTACCAAGATATGCATGAAATGAATATCTTGTCATAATGTGGGCTTGCAAAACAGGCTGTGATGAGCATTAAGTGGCATGTGAATAATGCAATGTAACAGAGCTTGTGAAATTTGTGAAATACAATTTTCCACAACAGTAATGAGGCTGTCAATGGAAAAACCAACACAATGGAGACGTTAACAATCATGCTTGATTATGAACATGGAAATGTCTAAACAAGACAAAAGTTCGTCTTCTCCAGTTAATATCTCAGACTAGTGCGCTTTACTTGGTGGTAAAAGTTTGAAAACTTAATTCTTCCTGACAACATTTTCCTCCAGGTACAAGTGTGTGTGTGTGTGTGTGTGTTCAAAACTGAAGCTCCCCCTTTTTGTTCTTTAAAAAGTCTTTATAGATGCTTAAAAAGCCTCAAAAAGACACCGAGTGGAAAATGCTGTTCATTCTTCTCACAGTGGCTCAGCCAGAACTATTAGTTAACAGACAGCTAGATTCAGAGCATCAAGCACCAATACTGCAAGCTGTGTGACTGAAAGCAGGAAGTGGAAGGAGAGGAAGAAAATGGGCAGTGCGTGAGTGTGTATATTAGGAAATACTGACAGTTGTAGGCGGGGAGGTGCAAATGAATTAAGGTGTCTACAGCAGTTGCACAAATGGCCACAGTTATATTTGTGTTAGTGAGAGAATGATATAGAGATGAAAAAAGAGACTGAAGAGGAAAGAGGAGAGGAGGGGAATGAAAAGAGGATGGTGGAAATCAATTCAGCAAAATACTGATTGTGTTTGTGTGTAAGGAAAGGAAAGAATTAAATGAACAACTGGCTGTAACACCTTTTTTTGTCTCAGGCGAGTG